GCGTGTCAGCTTCAAGAACACCCGCGAGACTGCCCAGGCCATCAACGGCATGAAGCTGCAGCGCGCCCTTGCCTTCCTGGAGAACGTCATCAACCACAAGGAGGCCGTCCCGATGAGACGGTACGGCGGAAGCACTGGCCGCACAGCTCAGGGTGAGTTCGCCATATAGAGGGACAGAAAGGATCGATAAGAGGAGGACAGTGGACAGAACACGAATGAGCCGGTTCTGGATGTGTTGTTTGGATGGAAATCATGCTGGATCCGTGTGGACTAATATCTGGCAGGCAAGCAGTTCGGTGTCACCAAGGCCCGCTGGCCTGTCAAGTCCGCCAAGCAGCTCATCGGCCTGCTGAAGAACGCTGAGGCCAACGCCGACACCAAGGGCCTCGACACCAGCAACCTCATCATCAAGCACATCCAGGTGAACCAGGCGCCCAAGGGCCGCAGGCGTACCTACCGTGCGCACGGTCGTGTAAGTTGAGAAATCACTTTTTTCGTGGTCTTCCGGGGTACTGACATGTCACGACCAGATCAATCCGTACATGACCAACCCTTGCCACATCGAGCTGATCCTCACCGAGGGAGACGAGGTCGTCCAGAAGGCTCCCGTCGTTGCCCGTACGGAGCAGCGCCTGAACTCTCGGCAGCGTGGAGCCCAGATCCGCCGTGCCATCACCCAGGGATAAACAATGAACGATGAAACATAATTAAATTAAGGGGCCGGCGGTGTGGTATGAAAAAGGGTAGTTGGATTGAGAGGGGATATAATTTTTTTTTCTTTCTGTCGACCTGGTACAATACCAATACCAAAAGAAATGAAAAACATTCCAAAATGGAATTTTGAGACGAAGGACACGGCGCTACTGGGTGCATCATTTATTTCTTCGTTAAATTGAAATGAATATCAATGACGGAGAAAAAAAAATAAAAACTGGCATGACCTGAAATGCAAAATTCAAGTCCTAAATCCTAGCTATGCGGGCGACTCCTGGCATGTCCTACCACCGAAAGCAAAGCAAAGCAAAGTACATACAGTACAATACAATGTTTTGTTCCATCCAGCGCTCCCTTTCTCCCTCTCTCTGGGGATCAAAATGAATGGGGATGGGATGCAATCCGGGGGTTTCATTCATCGCAGGAACTGCTATGTTGGATTGAATAGGGTTGTACTGAAGAATAACAATACCAATTACGTCTCCAAGAAACTGTCGCTCATCTTAATATATATATAAATAAATATATATTCGATCCGAATGTTTACTACCTACAGTATATGGACATATATATTTACACCACGAGTTCCATGTCGATAATAATCACGGTTACAAATAAATAAAACAACCAGAAAAAAAAAACTCTGATGAACTCTGATGTTACTTACTTTGAGCCATTGAGCATGAAGAGAGAGAATCCGATTCTTTATTTTTTTTCTATAAACTTATAGTGAATCTCTGCTAGATATAACCGTGCGAGTGTATATACTTTTTGTCGAGCTGTGGTATGCAATTGGGCCAGGAAGTGAAGTAAGTCATGATTGCATGTTCATTTTTTTTGTTAGAACATACCTATACTTATTGATAAGATTCCGGACTGTTATGGCTGCCTGCCTAGGTAGTACAGTATATCTATGCTTAGGCAGACGCTGTTAGGTATTAGTAATAGTAATAGTAATAGTACAATCGGTACAGTACTAGTACCTAGGTAGGTAAGAGATAGAGCAAGTGGCTGATTAGAATTAGATATTAGACATAGATAGCATACATTTATGCGTTAAGTCAACAAACACGTTCATGGCTAGTATATATGTATATATATTACTATATGAACACAGCAGAGCAGGCTCAAGGCTACAACGCAAAAAGGTATCTCGTCTTGTCTTGAACAGCAAGGACAGACAGAAATGTAATAATGTAATTGCAACAAAGAAAACGAGCTGATCAACCTATACCACGCATACTCGCACACAGACTGCAATGTTGAAGGCCAGGCCTGGCCAGCCGGCCAGCCAGACCTGGCTAGCTCAATGGTGATGGTCTCGTCTCAGCAATATGATTGATTGTATGCACAACACACAGACAGAAGGGTATATACGGATATAACAATAGCAGGAACGATAGCAAGAATGATAAGAATGACAAGAATGATCGAACACGTAGGTTACACCCAACTCCGTCAGTAGCGAGGCAGGTCCTCCCTCTCAAACCATCATAGTACTCGCGCAGAAACTCACTCGTCAGCGCGCTGCGATAGGAGAAACGGATTCATGCTCACTGTTCGTCCTCGTGACCGGGTCTGCAAACGGATTCTGAACCTGGAATTCCTCCGGATTGTACTCGTATCGGGTCGTCCTCGGTCGAGCCGGTGGCGGAGGAGGGGATGACAGCGCTGGAGCTGGCACTGAAGCCCTCACAGGTCTAGCTTCGCCAGGCGGCGCAGGTAGGGGTCGATCCCGCGTCTCTGGACCTGGTGACGAGCTATTACTGTTGCTGTTGCTGGTGCTGGTGCTGTTGCTGTTATTATTCCCATTGCTCAAAGCTTTCCGCGAATTGAGCACGGCACGTTGGTAGCGCGACAGCGCCACCGACAGCTGGTCGTTGGTCTCGATCAGGGTCAACAGCGTATCCTCGTCCGGAGGCGGGTTGTCGCACTCCATATACCCCTGGATCGACCGCGACGCGGCCTGGCATCGCTCGGAGAATTCCTTCATCAGGTCGTTGGTGGGCACTTCCGTCGGAGGCGTCGACTGAGCGAGCTGGATGAGGAGGGTTGCTGACGTCCGGGCCTCCGAGATGCGCGCTGCCAGCTCATCCGGCGGCGGCAGCACCTTGGGACGGTGGTGACGGGGGGCGCTGGCGAACGCGCCAGGCGGAGGCTTCATGTCGTCAGGATCCACGCTGTGAAATAAATGAATGAGAAAAAGGAACTCACCCGTCCGTACGCCTTCGCGATGCGCTCTTTCTCCTTCTTCCACATGGCGATCAACGGCGCCAGGCCTTCATCTGCAGATTTGTGCTTCTCGAACGAGTCCAGCGTCTCGCGCAGTATCTGCAGGGCCGCCATGTCGCGCCCATCGCGCAGCAGCTGCTTGACCGTCGCGACGAACTTGTCGTCGAGGTTGCGCGTGAACGTCGGGCCCGGGTTCGTGGCCAGGATGCGGATCAGCATGATGGCATTGTACTGTGCGAGGCCCCTGGGCTTGCTGGGACTGGCGAGGTATCGGCGGATGCGCAGGGCGGCTTCCCTGGCCGCGTCGGGGCTCGACTCGGCCGCCTCGACGATGGCAGGGAGATGGACGTAGTCCTCGGCCTGCAGGCATGGCATCAGCACGCAATCGCCAGTTTGGAGAAGATGGGATGCTCCTACCGCTCCGTTGGCGCCTCTGTCGGACTCGCAAAACGCTTTCTGGAGATCGCCGACATCAGCAGCGACCTTGGTCACGGGTTAGTTCAGCACGCACCACTTCTCGCAGGATGATGGCCTCGGGGGACTCGTCAGCATCGTCGCGCGTCTGGCCTGGACGCAACAGTCAGCTCATGATTAGCGTATCATGATGAAGCATTATCAATCAGCGGAGGCATACTCAACGCGCGCCGGTTGAACGAGCTCAGCATGCGCCTCATGGTGGTCGAGGGCAGGTTGACTGAGGCCTGGTCAAACTCCCCGTTGAGAGTAATCAATAAATATCAATGCTCGTAAGCAATATTTATTTAGAGAACGCCAGCAGCGCTGCCTAAACACCGTCGAATCAGCGCGCAGCTGTCCGCGCCAAGCAGCTGATTGTCGGGGGCGGAGTAGTGTGGCGCGGCAGCGATCAGTAGGAGATTGCGTAGAGAAGCGAGGGAAAATCCCGAGGGAATCAAATTAATTATTCATCTTCAGGACAGGAAGAAGAAAGAAACAGCTCAGGAATAAACAGCTCTTGCCATAATATTATCTGAGTGACGACCAACAGCTCATCTCTTGATGAGGCTCTGCAGCAGCCATACGCGTGTCGCCGTCAGCAGGCGATGATAATATAATATTAAAATTATATAAATCGTATTAATTTATATATTTTATTTAATAGTTATATATTTTTTAGAATTTTATATACTCTAGAGTAAGTAGTTTATAATCAGTTTAAAATCAGTTCTAAAACATTTCGCAATCAGTTAAAAAACAGTTAAATCACTATATTTCTGCCGCTATTAGGTGCTTAAAGGAGGAGGGGGGGGGGGGGTACTTAGGGGATAGTAGTATTTAGAAATATAGTAATTTATGGTAAATGAATTCAAATTCCATGTTTTGTAATTTATAAGGTCAGGCCATAGGCACGGGCCATCCAGCAGAATCTGATCACATGACTTTTGCCAAGAATGGTTGGGAAACTAAACTAGTTGGTCGGGTTAACTGAATCCACATCGATAGTCAGATAGATAAGGTAGAAGATTAGTCAATGCGGCTCTCAAATCCGGTGAGCGATGCGAGATGGCTGTTCTGTCTAACTCGAGTACATGCCCGATATGGACACTGCTCGAGATGCTCATCACCATCCTTCTATTTTGTACTAACTGTCCTGAATCGATGAATATGAATTAATATCAAACACGTGCTCCTTGCTTGCGCTGCCCCAACGTGATTCGCTGACTTGGCGCCCGCAGCGGATCCTTCGGCCATCGCCATCTTTCCTCTTCTCTCCACCGATCAAGTTTGTGATTTTTCCTCGAGAGTGGTCGACTCTTTGATGCGTTTCTTTGTAGAGCGCTGTCAATTGGTCGATCACTGCAGTCCGGTTTGTGATCTGACCGCCTCTCCGCGATCCATGCAAGATCCGTTCTTTTCTTATTCGCGACCCCAGATCTGCCGACAACTGTGACACCTTCCCTGCCATCTAGGACTTCACATGGAGGACCCTCAGCTCCGTCATTCCATCTCTCTCCACCCCCATCCCTTCAATCTCTCTCCGCCGCGTCCCGCCCTGTCCATCAATGAAGCCACCAGCACCGGCGTCGACGGCGCTGACACCGTCCCTGCCCCCCATATAAGGGCGCCCTCGCGGGACGAGGAGGGAAACCCACCGCCGCGATACACCCGCCAGAACGATCCCTTCCACCTGGCCTCCAAGATCAAGACCGACGCCGAGATCAAGCAGATCAAGGCCAACACCTCCCGCAAATACGAGCGCTGTGCGCCGTCCATCCTCAAGGACCGCGTCGGGTCGACCTCGCGCAAACTGCAGGGATTCTACCAGGCCCAGAATCAGAACATCGAGCGCCTGCTGACCCCTGTCGAGGAGCATGTGCGCGCCGCCAGAGAGCTCAACAACCAGAACCAGCTGAAATACAAGATCGCCGTCTATGGCAGCTTCGCCGCCAACGTCATCCTGTCCATCGTCCAGATGTATGGCGCCATCTCGTCCGGCTCGTTGTCGCTGTTCACCACCATGGCGGATGCCATCTTCGACCCCATGTCCAATCTCACCCTGCTGCTCTGCCACAAGGCCGTGTCGCGCGTCGATCCGCGGAAATTCCCGGCCGGCAAGGCGCGCATCGAGACGGCCGGCAACATCTGCTTCTGCTTTTTGATGACCGCCGTGTCCTTTGTTCTGATCGCCTTCTCCGTGCGCGAGCTCAGCGTCGGCCACGAGGAGGAGACGTGGAGCTTCCACCTGCCGTCCGTCATCGCCGTCGTCGTCGCCTTCAGCACCAAGCTGTCCCTGTTTCTGTATTGCTGGACGTTGCGCGACCAGTTTTCGCAGGTGCGCATTCTGTGGGAGGACCACCGCAACGACCTCTTCATCAACGGTTTCGGTATCCTCACGTCCGTGGGCGGCAGCAAGCTCCGCTGGTGGATCGACCCGATGGGCGCGGTAATTCTGTCGCTGCTGGTGTCGGGCCTGTGGCTGCGCACGGCGTATTCCGAGTTTCAGCTGCTCATCGGGGTGAGGGCGGACACGCAGATGCAGCAGTTGATCACCTATATCTGTGAGTTCTCCTGAACTTTTCTGCTGTGGTTTTCTTTCTAACAGGAAACAGCAATGACGCACTCTCCGATGATCACAGCCATCGACACGGTGCGCGCCTACACGTCGGGACCGCGACTGCTGGTCGAAGTCGACGTCGTCATGGACCCGGCGGAGAGTCTGATGGCGACGCACGACGTGGCGGAGGAGCTGCAGATGAAGCTCGAGTCGCTGCCGGACGTGGAGCGGGCGTATGTGCACGTGGATTACGAGACGACGCATAAGCCGGAGCATTTCCTGAAAAAGGAGCTGTAATATACGAGCGGAGCGAGTCGTTAAAAGGCTTGTATAATACATTGTTCCTACTGATTGTGATGGATGCTGGTCACCTCGTTGACGGATAGGATAGACTGATGGATAGACTTTTGTACTGTACAATTCATCTTACTGACAGGTTGGTAATAGCACTATAATACTGCTGCTGCTGTTGTCGAATAGACTATATTTTTTCATGAATATATGATAATAGCATGTTGGATTTGACAGGGATGGACGATACGCCTCTGATTACTATGAACTTCTAATTAATCTCTTTCCCAGTCTCTTCCGTTCATCAACGCGAACAAAAGAATGTCATTACTCAGACTGAGTCAGAATTTTTTTCATCAGCGCACTCTTTTGGCACCGCAGATATTGACGGGTATAATTTGCCTATGCTTCTTCCGAGGACTAATAATACTGCCGGTTTCAACCCGCACGTCCCGTTCACAGCCCTTGCCCTCTGTTGGTAAGGCACGCCGTTCATAATCAATCAGCAGCTCGTCCTCCAGCAAAGCGAATCTCGCGTATTTGCCAATTGGTGCTCGCAAGGGGTGCACTGCTGTAGTTGTAGTCCAGTGCGACTCTCTGAACAGTTCGCGTATCCACTTCTCGTTGGCTTTCATCATGTCGAAATTCCATGCGTTGCTGCTGATGCACAACCCTCGCATGTTTACCAAGGAATTCTCGACGCCGCAGATTGGGTATATTCGACCTCCGAAGGCACGGGTTTCCCATGCGGTACCAGCCTCGCGACAGGTTACACCAGGTGTGTTCAACGGCTCGCCATCATCATCAGATCGTAATAGTTGCCCGCCACGAATGCTGCGGAACTCAAGCACGTGAGCCAATCCATGACCCAGTAAAACTGCAAGGAAAACCAGCCCTGCCAGTTTCCGACTGTGGCTGCAAGTCGGATCTCGCAAGAGTCGAACGATATTATAGTTCACAGAAATTCGATCTGAGGCGGCCTTGGGACACAGAACCGTCTCTGCAAAAACAGCGGCGGAATTCGAGTAATAATAGTGTCTGTCAGGGTTGAACTCGATGTCGGGGATAACGTTTTTGATGTATCCAATAGTCTCGTCCTTGGATAGAGCCAGCTCTGTATCCGCGTCAAGAAATTCATCTGGTGGAAATAGTCCTGGACGTTGACGCCTAACAAAGACAGTGAAAGATTCCCAGCATTGAATGATGATTCGCGACAAGAGGAGGAGCGCAGGTTGGATTGACTCATAGGCATTCTGCGCGGCAGCAGAAGTATCCTTTCCACGAAACATAGGAAACTTCGACTTTGGGAAAAGATTCTCGTTTTGCAGGTCACGAAAGCCCGAAGGATATTCGTCGTAACTCTCGATGACAAAGTCTTCGTCGCTGAAGCCGAATGGGGGGTCCACCCCATGGGTGGTAGCCATGGCGGAGGACTTTAAGCTGTCAGTCACATTGGAGGTATCTCAAGGTGCTTGACATAGAACTGCAGGAGCTGATGGCAGATGGAAGAGGAAACCGCGAGGAGCACCTTGAGATAGGTACCTACCTAGATAGGTAGGTGACAGAGCACTCGCTGGTCAGGTGAGTCATCCATATGACGTAATCAGTATTGATCGTTTTGTACGATATCATCTTACTGACAGGTTAAATAGCATATACTGCGCTGTTGCCGAATAGATTGTTCGTGTCAGATGAATCCACGATGATATATTGCATATACTTCTACTATACCTCCCTAATACAACCTTCATGTTATATCGATTTTGTTTGAGGTTCCAATCTAACGATATATGAAGCAATGAACAACGGTTTTGCAGAATGAAAGGGGGCTCAAATTATTCAACTGTGGACGGCTGTTTTCCTTGACCGCTAGTTCGTCTCTCACTCCCACTTACCTGCCCGTCATTCAAGGCCGAATTCGTTGAAGGTGTCCTGTAGCAAGCACTCAATTCGACTGAACCTCGAATGGGTATCATCAATTCACTCACGTCTGTGCCTGGGTCCCCGTCAAAGAACTCGTCAAAAGCAAATCCACAGAATTCTTCCCCAGGTTCTTCGAGCTGCCATTCCTTCATCTTGTCAGTCTTGACAGTCAGAGCAAACAAGTCGCCGTTTCGGTTCACAGTAATTCGGAATGGATCACCGCTTTCGACATTGCCGAAGATTCTGATCCAACACGAAGATCCCAACGTCTCCACCGCTGTGGCGGTCGCACTGTCTTTGTTCCATGATATCCAGCGCTTTTTGAAGTGAAGCGCGTAGTGTGGGGAGAATCTGGTTGCCGGCGCTCGTGCCGGGGCGAACACGGGCAGCAGATCGAAGAGCATCGACGTCTTGTCTTCGTGGCCTTGGACGATGACTTTCAGCCGCTCCTCGTCTTCTGAGTATCTGAAGAACAGCCCCAATGCAGGTCCCGGAGGAGCGTCCAGGCTTTTCGTTCGCAGCATCTTCGATGTCGCCCCAATGCCCGCCCAACCAAAGACGTCCCGGACGAGCTTCAGATTGATCCGTGTACCCTTGCTTGGACTACCCGGTCGTGAAGCGCCATAGTTGCTGAGGTAAAAACAAAGCTCAGTGCTCATCATCATCTCATCTCGGCAACGATACTCACTGGACTGCAATGGCGGTCGGAGTGCCTTTGTATCCAACCCAAACAGGCGCCCCGCTGATGCCCGCCTCCGTCTTCGCCATGTACTCGAGCTGGTTTTGACTCAGGATCGGATTCACGCATGCTCCAGTGCTGGTCCCGGCCGGCCCATTCTTCCCTTGCTGGAAGCCAGTCACCCCGACATCGCAATCGAGTCTCTCTTCATGGCCCAGGTGCAGACTGAAGCCAAACGCATAGTGCGGCGCCTTCCCTGGTTCTCGGGCCAAGAGGATGACCCCGTAGTCGTGTTGCGCTGACGCCTCGCTGGGGTTGTTCGCGTACTGCTCGCAGATCTTGATGGCGTCCAGCGGCACAGATCGCTGCACAACCCGGTCAGAGTGCGGGTCTGTAATGTGGACCGTCATGACATTGTAGCGCCGTTTTTTGCCGTCGATGAGGTTGTGGCCCGCGGTGAGGATGATGTCGTCCTCGCAGCCAGGGAAGTGCACGAAAAAGCCATTTCCACTTGACTCGCCTGTTTGTAACGTTAGAACTGACACACTCATGCGGATAAAGTTCTGCCTACTTTCATTGTTGACCCGAAAGGTCAGTTTCACCACGGCAGCTGTTAGCAGAGCAGCGTCGTAGTTCACCAGCCCCAAGAGGTTCTTTTCCTTTGGGCCGGTCTTGTACGCGTCGGCCACGTCTTCTTCTGCAATGAGCCTTCTAACCATTGTTATGAATGACGTGGGAATGGTCAGGGAAGCAGGCAAAGAAAAGAAAGAAAAGAAAGTCTGTCGTGGATATGATGCAGGCGAAGAATCTATCCGGCCAAGCTGGGGGAATGCTATCAATTTATACAGACAGCCACCATTGTGCCCAAGCCTGTCCTGGTATCCAAATCGTGCCCTCCTCCAATTGGTGCAGAGATGGCTCTCGTGCTTCGATTCGCAACATCTGACCTGCTCGAGGCTCCCTATCAGATTGTGCTGTGCTACTCCCGCGAACTGCTCGATCGTTTCTCATTCGTTCTGCCTATAGTACGACTATGGCGAGCACGATGGCCTTTCCTACGCTTTATAGCCTCTACGCGATTGGGATTTTACGACTGAGATTTCAGGTTGAAGCAGATCGTCATTCTCCGCTCAGTTGTACTGTCTTTTTTCCATTTTATGTTTGCCTCTACGACTAACCCATCAATGGCTACCCTCACAAACTGCCTTTTTAGAGTATTCTTGCTCTGCTATACCTATTGCTAGTATCCCTTTTCTTTGAGCACAGCTGTGTCCTGATTCTTGCCATGAGATTCCTTGCAACGATCTCTAGGACTTACGTCCAGTCTAGTCTACGCTCACACCACGGCTCGCGGCTCAATTGGCGAAATGAGGAGTTCCAGCAGCTGGAAACAGACCGTCAGCTTACTGTTCGAGTCATCGAAAAAAGAAAGGAGTATCTGGCATACCCATGCTTCCAAGTCTTTCTCATTGTCTTTCAATTCCGCGAATCTGTTGTCCAAGGTCTCTGTGAAATGGTCAGCGGAATGCAACTGTGACTGGTTCTGGACGTAACTGACCGGTTGTACAGTATAGCACACGTTTAAGATCCCTGTTTTCGTGCAAGTCTTTTAGGAATTGCACCGATTCCGGGTCGTCCCCTACGCGACTAAGTTGGAACCTGACCGCTGCGATAGGTCAGCCATCTGGTTGAATGTTACGTGAGAAAGAAAAGGAGAACCAAAAAAAGACTACACACCTTCAGCCTCATAGCCCTTGTCAACGACTCTTTTCATGCATTCAAGGATGGCATTCTCGAAAACGGCACGATCCTCGCCATACGGGCACCCGTCCGTGATGGTCGAAATAAGTATCGGTCTCTCAAGCAACTCACCGCGGTCCAGCCTGTCATAGATCAGAGGTTGGAGGATCTTCTGTTTCAGCATGGTTCCGATCTTGGTGCCGCCTCCGGGCCCGACGCCGCTCATCACTTTGTCGACTCCCGCCTCGTCGAGCTGATCTCCCCAACTCGTTGAGACGTTGATGAAACGCAGCTCAACGCCGTAGCCGTCCGGGACGAGTTTGGTGGTGATTTTCGTCATGCGCTTGACGAGCTCTCGTTGAGATTCCATCCGAGACTCGTTACCCATCGATCCACTGTCGTCTTGACTGAAGTCAGCTTTCTCTCTCTCCGCTCTTACGAGGAGGGTTCGACCATGCACAACGAAAAACTAACTCACCACAATACAGGACCGGCTGGTAGAGGGCCAATCTCGTCAGGTCACGGATTTGGTCCTCAGACGTCAAAGTGTTATTAGGGTCTTTTCTTAGCCGCGTGGCTTTCTCGGCAACGTCCTGCAGAAACTTTGGATTGTTTCCAAAGAATTGCCCCAGGCCGGAGTCTTTCACGTATTTGTCTATATTCGCCTTGAACTCATCGACCGTCTTTGGTTCGCCGATTTCCTTTGCCAGCGCGGCATCAGGCGTCGCGTCCTTGGTAATGTGGTACAAGGACGATACGGTGTCCTTGACGATGTTGCGACGATCGTTTGCTTGGAAGGGTTGAATTCAGGCAGTCGCTCGCTATGGTCGTCTCATTTAAGCCATAATATGAAATACACTCGTTTTTCCTAGATGAACAGGTTGCTATCTCACTCTCTTTCTATAGGCATTGACCAAACAAAATCAATAAACGTATTGCTGTGTAGCCTAGTCTAGTCTAGTCTAGCCGGTCTGTCTAGTCTAGTCTAAGATTATTGTTATTAAAAAAAAAACAAGAAGAAAAGAAAAGAAAAGAAAGAAATATATGACGAGATAAGTAAAGAGAAGGTATAGTGTAACAAAAAGAGGAAAAAGTGGTATGCTCTGGGGAAAAATTATGTGCATAATATAATATCACAACAAAAGAAATGCAACTTTAAAAAGAATATCAACAGATCAACAGATACTGATGACTGATCACTCCGCCCGCTTCCCCTTGGGCACCCTCACCAGCCAGTACAAAAACACAGCAGCCGCCGTATTAAAGGCGATGTACACCCACATCAGCCCAAAATTGCGCCACGCCGTGCTGAACTCGCTCGACACGCTGAGCAGGAAGGTATCCGTGCTGGACATCGGACAGAACCCGCAGTTTGTTGTGGCGTCCGGGTTGGTGATGTATCCTCCCCGCAGCTGGATGTACGGCTCCATATATTCCTGGCACGTCTGGTTGCTCGGCGGGTTGAAGTGCAGCAATTCGACAGACTCGCAGACTACATTGGTGCCTGACACGGCGGTGGAGAGCATGGCGGATACGAGGTATGTGAATGGTGAGACACGGTACATGAAGATCCAGAAGCCCGGGAGGGCTTGCGGGGTTGCGAGGACACTGTAGTCAGTTCAAACAAATTCAATGTTAGCTTTCCTTTCCCGGAAGTTGAAGGTTAGTTTAGTTAGGGTTAGGATGGGACCAACGCACCCGCAGAAAATCAAAGTCAGAGAGAACAACAAGTTGGCCAGATTGCCACCAGTTTCGGCAACCTCGATGCCGGCAATGACCATGTGCGCGAATGTCGACGTGAACATCATAAACGACCAGATCAGCAGGAACATGAGGCCCCCGCGCTCGGTCACTGCGTGGGTCGGCTCCGCGTTGCGGTACAGGCCGATCGGGTAGTAGTAGCAGAAATACATCAACACCGCCATCAGCGTGTTCCACGGTAGCTCGACCAGGATGTTCGCCATCATGAACGCCTGCCACGAGTATGCCTTGGAGGGACGCTCCCGCGCCTCGTACAGCGACCGCTGCGTGACGAAGTGGGGCATGATCTGCTGCACCAGGTTACCGAAGATGGTCATCAGCATGAAGACGCTGAACATCTGGTTCTGAAGCCCCTGGAGACTGTTCTGTGCCCTGAAAAACGAAAACCCGATGAAGAGCGTCGTGCAGATGCACAGCGCGGCCTTCGAATAGATGTACGACGGCGTCCGCCAGTACTGGGAGAAGATCCGGCGCAGGCATTCCCACAGTTGCACACGGAACGGAGCTGCAAATTCGCGGTAGTCGGCCGGGTCCGAAGAGGCGCCCGCCGTGCTCTCTTTCCGAGACAGCGTCGATTTCAGTTCCGCAAGATGGTCCAGAACCGCTTTGTGCTCAGGGCTATCACGCCAAACCGCCGGCCAGTCAATGTCGCTGTGTGATCCCGGTGCGGCACCGATGACCTCGAGCATCCACTCGGCAGGGTTTGCCCCTTCAGGGAGTGGAGGAGCGCCATTCCGTTCAAAGTAGCTCGCCAGAGTCGAGGAATTTTTGCCGATTTCTCCAAAATACACCGTCTTTCCCCCCTTGGCAAGGAACAAAAGCCGGTCGAATCGCTGGAAGAGCATCGCTGAGGGCTGGTGGATAGTGCATAGGATTGCTTGGCCATGCTTCGTCAGGGTGTCAAGTAGATCCAGAATTGACCACGCTGTCTGACTGTCCAGTCCAGAGGTGGGCTCATCGAGGAATAGCAGTAGCTGCGGTTTGGCTGCGAGTTCGACTCCAATGGTGAGACGCTTCCGCTGTTCAACGTTGAGACCTGTCCGAGTCAGCTGTCAGATCTCGAGAATATTGATGGACGACGAAACCTACCTTCACCCGGCACACCCACAACAGCATCGGCATACGCTTCCATTCCCAGCAGCTTAATGACCTCTTCAACGTAGTCGAGCTTTTCCTGGCGGCTCACGCTGGCTGGCTGTCGAAGGATCGCGCTGAAACGCAGCGCCTCTCGGACGGTCGTGGTCGCGAGATGAAGATCCTGTTGCTGAACATAACCGGTTTTGCGCTGGAACGACCGATCTCTCGGACGACCGTCAACCAGCATCTCACCTGACACCACACCCATGGTGACGCGGGTTGCGAGGACATCCAGGAGAGTTGTTTTGCCAGCACCAGAGACGCCCTGTTCAAAGTCAGTGCGGAGATCAGAAATTTCGAAGATGTGAGTTCTCACTCACCATCAACGCAGTGCAGGTACCAGGTTTCACCCACCCGTCGACATGATCCAGGATCCGCCTAGTTTCACCCTTGATTTTTATGTCATAGCACACGTCCTGCCAGTGGAAGATGGCTGTCTGCCGCTGGATATTTGCCGTCACCTGTTGCCCGTGAGTGTCTTCCGTCTTCTCGGCCGGGGCCGGTTCGCGACTTTTTTCAACGTCATCGGATCCCTTGCTGATGGCCGCAGGCTGATGACCACGACGGAACAACAGCACTTCACCCTTGGACTTGGCCTCGGAGATATATTCGGTGCCGAGGAGATACGTGCACATGAAGAAGACCATAAATCCAAAGATGATACCTAGATTCCTCCACAGGTGGTCGTAGGAATACTGAAAGCTCTGCTCGAGATAGGCATCACCTGAAACATACGCCACCCCTGCTGTAGCACCGACTGTGGAACAGATCTTGTTCGCAATGGGGAGGTCGTCGTAGCTGCCACCACTCGGAATAAGCTGCTCAGGCGCGCAAGGAAACGTCCGGTTATGGAATTCGTTGACCATAAAGCTCTCAAAAGCGTACGAGATGGGGTCGATGTAGTTGATCCAGCGAGACCAGCCCAGCATGTTCCTCGTGGGAATTGTGAAACCGGTATAAATCACCAGTGCCAGTATGAGCAAGGCTGCAGGTGCCAGGGCCTGGCTCAGGGTCCGAGAAAATGCGGCCACGGTCCGGAAGATCATCGACATGGTCAACGTGATGACGATCGAGAACAACCAGAAGGTGAAAAATGCCCCGGGCTCACGGCGAAGGTTGGTCAAGAAATAGAGCGTGATATTGAACGTGACGGAATTCAGGAGCTTATAGGGCATGTCACAGAGCATGGACGCAATCGCCTCCGCAAAGGGATGATATAACGCATAACGAGCATGCTTTTCAACAATGGGACGTTGCGCATATAGTGTCAAAATCTGCCTGAAGTTAGCCTCGTTTTCTGATTTAGAGATCAGGAGTGATGATCGAATCACGCACCTCGAGAGCACTAGAGAAAGCATTCAGCAAAACCGCAAAGAACAAGAGGGCTCCCCGGCTGTAGAAACTGGAAGTGTCATCGCGCAGGTTATAGAAGACACTGCCGATGATGAGAGCCATAATCGTATTACCGATCAGCTGAGTGAGCGTCAGAGACGCATCCCTCCGCAGACGTTGAAAACCACGAACGACACACAGGTTGACTTGCTGCACCACCGACAGCGTGTACGGAGACTTGACTCGTCTGTTGCAATCATCAGTCTGGATTCTATCAAGCAAGCACGTAAGAAGAAACTCACTGATGTTTTGCTTGCTGTGCTCGGCGGGACTCGATGAACTGATCCACAGATGCTCCGCCAATTGGATACGTCTCTTCATATTCCTTGATCTCCCGCATCAACTTGGCATGGGCCTCGCTATTCTTCCAGGCTGCTGCGAACTCGTCAGGAGTTCGGGGCACCTTGTTCTCGTAACCCGGCTTGACAATGCGTTCAGATGGGCTGGTGAGAGAAGTCAAGAAATCGGCTGTGGTCTGACGTTCGGGACATTCGAAACCCATGTTGGTGAAGAATTCTTTGGCCTCGTTGATGGGGCCAAAATAGATCTGACGACCCTCGTAGAGGACGGTCACTTTGTCGAAAACCTGGATAGAGACCGGATTAGACAGGCTTCACCGGACAATCTTCACGAAATAACTCACATCGTAAGCACTCTGCGAAGCTTGGTAGATGGCGACACAGGCCGTGGTGCCAACATAGTTGGTGGTTAATCGCAGCGTCTTGCAGAATTCAAGGGCATTGGCGCTATCCAAGCCACGGGTGCTGTTATCCCAGCATTGCAGGGGGCTCTGGCTCAAGGTTGCTTCTGCAATGCTCACACGCTTGCGCTCTCCACCACTGACTCCCCGGATGTAGTCGTTGCCGACTCGGGTGTTGATCGTGTGGCTGAGACCGAGCATTGCCATCACGACATCTCGCATGTGCTCTGCATACTGCTTCCTCGAGACACCGGGAAAGCGGTTCCGCGGCGCACGTGCGAGGGCAGCAAAGGTGAGGGTCTCTCCGACAGTCAACTGGGGGAAATGGACATCGGTCTCGGCCGTGTAGATGGCTTCGCCTCGGAATTGCTTGTGCATCTGCTTGCCGGAAATGCCTGTACTTGTCAGTCGAATGCTATCAAGTGAGAATAATTCTCTGTTTTACCTTGGTAGTTTAAATAGGATGAGTCGTCCAAATAGATACCATTCATCTCGCCGGCAATGGTCTTTAACAAGGTCGAACAACCACTGTCAAGAGGCAG